GTCTAGTTATACCTCTCAACCAACCATCACAGCCCCCTCTTTTCCCCAGCTTTATGGAAGTATAATTGACATGTGACACTGTGTAGATTTAAGATGTACAACATGATGATCTGACACACACATATATTGCAGAATAATTACTACAGTATGGTTAGGTAACGTATCCTTCCCCTCATGTAACTACTTTTGTTGTTTTGGTAGTGGTGGTGAGAACACTTAGATTCTTATACAATACATGAAGTGATGTATCGCTAGAAGATAGACTGCATTAAGTTAAAAATATATTCCATAAACTCTAAACCACAAAATAGAAAAACACAACCACAAAAATAGAAAAACAGAGTTACAGCTAGTAAGCCAGCAAAGAAGATAAAATTGAATTAAAAAAAAATAATCGAAAAGAAGACAAAGAGGAAAAAGGAAAGAAAAGATGAGGTAGGTCAAATGTAAAACACAAGATAGATTTAAAGCTAATCATATCAATAATCAAATGTAAATGGTCTAAACCAGGGGTTTGCAAACTTTTTTTTGTAAAAGACAGTTAATAAATATTTTTGCTTTGTGGGACATACAGTCTCTGTTGCAACCATTCAGCTCTGCCATTTTAACTTAAAAACAGTCATAGACCGTGTGTAAATGAAGTCTATCTGTGGGCCATAGTATGCCACGCTCTGGTCTAAATACCCCCATTAAAAGAGAGAGATTGTCATGTTGGACAAAAATGAAAGACTCCACTATACATTGCCAACAAGAAATGTACTTTTATATAAAGAAATATTTTAACAAATAGGTTAAAAGTAATGGAAAAAAGATAGGCTCGAACAAATCAAAAGAAACTGGAGTAGCTATATTACTATCAAACAAAGCAGATTTCAGAGAAAGAAATCAGAATTTTTTAACATTTTTTATTGAGTTACAATCATTTTACAATATTGTGTCAAATTCTAGTGAAGAGCACAATTTTTCAGTTATACGTGAACATATATATATTCATTGTCACATTTTTTTCTCTGTGAGCTACCATAAGATCTTGTATATATTTCACTGTGCTATACATTATAATCTTGTTTATCTATTCTACATTTTGAAATCCCATTCTGTCCCTTCCCACCCCCCATCCCCTTGGCAACCACAAGTTTGTATTCTATGTCTATGCATCTGTTTCTGATTTGTATTTATGTTTTGTTTTGTTTTGTTTTAGATTCCACATAAGAGTAATCTCATATGGTATTTTTCTTTATCTTTCTGGCTTACTTCACTTAGAAGACATTCTCCAGAAACATCCATGTTGCTGCAAATGGTGTTATGTTGTCAGTTTTTATGGCTGAATAGTATTTCATTGTATAAATATACCACATCTTCTTTATCCAGTCATCTGTTGATGGACATTTAGACTGTTTCCATGTCTTAGCTATTGTAAATTGTGCTGCTGTGAACATTGGATATTTAAATATTACCAAAGATAAAGAAGGTGATTTCATAGTGATTAAGTATCCTAATTCATTTATTTTGTATAAACAGAAGTCCTGCCATCTAAGATATTTTGAACAAACAGCTCCTATCAACATGTGAAAGACATAAACATGACAACTGGACATGAATTCATCTTCTCAATGACAAATAATATACAAGCTTAAGCAAATCATTGTGGTTGTGGGCTCATCATTTTGTTCAAACTCTTCAGATCATGAAGGAACTGGTAGTGTCATCTCTGTACTACAGAGTCAATATGTTCAGTTGTTTTTTGGCTTCCCATTATAGCTGTCTTAAATGTTTAGAAATCTTACCTGAAGCTCATCACTTTGCTTCTCTTTCTCAGGTTGTGCAAATTAAAAACCAAATCAGAAATAGTAAATCACTCTTCTATCTACAGTGCTTTTTCTTTTCCACCTTCCATCTATTCCTTCCCTTTTTTCCTCCCTTTACCTACACTAGCTCATTCAAAGAGTAGTTCAGGGACGAGAAGATTTCCTTTCTTCCTGACTCAGGTAGAACAGAACATTCTACTCATTCAACCCAGCCAGCCACCACTTTCCTTCCCTGAATGCTTCTTTTGTTTCATCTTCATCGGGGACTCGGCTGATTTCCTAAATGGCCTCTTCTCCATAAGAAATTTAAAGACCTTCTGTTTTTAAAAGTCCTTCTGTCATCTAGTTTACAGTCTGTCCTGTTCTGCCTAGTTTGTGTGCATTCTTGTTCTCTTAATTTGAGCCATCGGTCCATATTTTGAAAGATGTCTTTTTATCCTAAAATAACTATTTGGCTGTACCAATTAACCACACAAGGAATCTTTCAGACACTTGATATTTTAGTACCTCAGCACAAATTTTTCTTGAGCTTCTCAAAAAGTGTTTATTTAGGGTTTTTTTTAATAGTATCAAGGTATCTTGTGGTTTATTAACTCTTAAAGTTATACCTTGCAATTTTTCCAAATGTTCTGCATTTGGCTTCCCCTTTTTGTGTATTCTTGATTTACCTGCTCCAGTGTGGCTGGAGCACAGTGATCAAAGGGGGTAAGTGGTGAAAGTCAGGTAGGAGAAGTCCCGGGCTGCCGTATTTGGTGTTGGGGTGAATAACTGCACAGGCCAGGCGAGAGGAGGGAGCTGAATCCAGCCTGGGCTCTGTTCACCAAGTCCTGTGCCAGCACTAGGCTGTGTTCATCTAAGGAAGGTGTTTTTAAATGTGTCATATGGGCTGCTGGTGGTCCAGTAGAAGATCATGTCTGGAAGTTTTGATTTTATACTAATGCACCACAAAGAAGGAATGAAAAAATCCAGTTTATATTTTGTGAAGAACACTCTGCTGTGTCTATCATGGACTGGAGAGAGACAGGAGTAGAAGTAAGGAGGCCAGTCAGGAGGTGATGATGGCCACAACTAAGGTGGTAGAAGTAGAGATGTAGAGAAATGGATGGATTCAAGGCATCTTTTGGAGGCAAAATGAACAGGACTTGGTGGTGGATTTGTGTGGAATGTAAGGGAGAGAGAAGTGTGAACGATGATGCCCCAGTTACTGACTTGAATAACCAGGTAGGTGGTGGCACTGTGTCCTGAGATGGGGAGCATTGAGGAGGGAACAGGTGGGGAGGGGGTTGTTTCAAGAACTCTGGTTCAGACAATTTATTTGAGACACCTGTGACGTATCTAAATGGCTACCAAGAGGCAGGTTAATATAAGTACCTGGGATTCAGAAGAACATCTGCTCTTTTCTGAGTACCCTGAGGCTTTCCTCATCTTTTGTAGTCAGATAGCAATACATCTGAACAATTCTATCATGTCCTAAATGATTTTCAGTATCCCTTCCCCCAAACAATCCAGAAATTTATTTTTGAGAGAGGCAAAATAACTCTGTGCATTGAGTATAAAAGTTAATTGTTTTGCCTTGAGGCAAATGCTTAGTCCTACACCCAGTGCAGTAAACCCCATTGACCCCACACTGGGGCTAGTCTCCTATCTGCATTTTATGTAATTTAAAGGGCTTTCTGCAAACTTAGCAAACTTTCTGTTTCCTGGTACCGTGGTTTCAGTGTTCCCTTGAGAAATTTAAGTTGATCTCTCTCCTTCTCCTCTTAGTGGCGTGAGAGTCACAGTCACAGTAAGTCAGGTTTAACATTTTTTCTCCCAAGTTGTCTGGCATTTACTCTCTCTTAGAATTCATAATCAAGGCACAACATAAATTTAGAGCCAGCCTGTCACTGGAATCGCTTCTCTAATCTCACTAGTTGAACTCCTAGACCTGAATGACTCCAGTACTCAGATTTGTTCTCTGTCTTGCTCTAGTAGGCTGAGCCAAAACCAATGGTTAAAAAGCACAGGGAAAGACATGTTGGCTTAACTAAAGGAAAAACTTCCTAATGCTTAGCACTGTCTGAAAATGAAAACGCCTGCTGGGGAAGGAGTGAGTTATGGTTCCTAGTGGTGTTCAGGCACAGGACAGACAATCATTTGATGCAGATTCCATGGTAGAGACTTAAGTCGCGGTGTAGAAGTAATCTCCACTGACTATTGTATTCCTGCTCATGCTCAAGCTTCACACAGATGTTTCGTCTCATTTAATCCTCATAATGACCCCCAAGGGAACTAGTTTTAACCCCACCAGGAGAGATTATAGTCACAACTTAAGATCACACAGCTAGAGTGGCAGAGCCAGGATTTAGAGCCAGGATTTAAACTCTGAATCCAAAACCTTTGTTTATTCTTTCCACAATTCATGGAAGCTTGCGAAAATGAACTAGGGGATTTCTAAGGTCTTTTCCAGCACTGTGATTCTGAGTCAAAATCTAGATATAGGCGCCACTGACTGTGTTTTCCTTAAATCATCCTTCTGGCCTCAGTCACATTAAAATGATAATCTATGGCTCCAAAACTGTCTCTGGTCTCCATCAAGAAAGGACTATTTTTAAAAAATCAACATTGGTATCTTGTATCTAACTCTGAGTTTCCAGCGGAACTTGGTATATGAGCCTCAAAATCAATGTTTTGTTCCTCATAGGGTCCCTGCCAAGGACTAAGTTTACACTATAAATGTACAGAAGACTAAGCTTTTTTTTAATCTCTGAAAACTGTTATAATATAGTGTCCTACCTTCTCTACTCATTCTGCAGGTCTTGAAGATCTTAGAAAATCTAAGAATATTTGTCCCAAGGTCAACTTTTCTGGACCAAGTTCTAAGTCAGGTTTTTTTAAATATTAGAATTTTAAAAATAATATTAGAATTTTTAATAATTATTAGATCCTAAAAGATCTTGTCACAAGAAAAAAATCTATTTCTCTAATTTTGTATTTATATGAGATGAGGATATTCACTAAATTTACTGTGATAATCATTTCAGGATATATATAAATCAAATCTTTATGCTGTACACCGTAAACTTATACAGTGCTGCATGTCAATTATATCTAGTAGAAACTGGAAGAAAAAATATTAGAGTTGAAAATAAGTTTAGTTTACTTATCTTAAGGTAAAATGGCTCTATATGTGTGTTAAATGCTGTTTTCTAGATTGAAGCTGAACTCGCCAAGGAAAGGGCTCAACATTTAGTTGAATTTCAGGAGCAAGCTCTTCTCTTTAAGGAAGAAGCTAAACTGGAACTTGATATTGAAAGGGAAAAACATCAAGAAATAATCCAAAAGTATAAGAAAGAACAAGAGGAGCTACAAATGAAGGTCTGTCATTATGATGTTTATCATTATTTAAGGGGTTTAAAACTATAGATGTTGGTTATCTCCTCCTAGGAGTACTAGTGTAGTTATAACTCCAGAAGCTTACCTCGTAGTCATTGTGCCTTAGTTTTAGGGAGGTAGGATGGTTTGCCTATTCTCCAGAATGAATAACTGAGATAAATTATATAAGCATACAATCCAGCTGTGTATGGAATTTTTTCCTATTAAAATAAACTTATTTTTAAAACAGCATAAATTATATAACTAATAATTAGCATGGTTAGATACTCCAATTCCTCAAATATCTAACATCAAAAGATAATGAGGTGTTTTACATAATTAAAAGTTTATCAACCACTAAAGCCTATCCCCTTTAATTACAAATATTTTCAGTTCTAAATATTTTTGAATGAAGGGTAATATTTTTAAATGTAGTCACACTTCCATAATTTCTTAAATTTAGGACACATTTGTCCTAAACTTAAAATTAAGTATTGGTCAAGTTTCCCCTATTTTTATCAGACTTGAGCATAGAATGTGTGTGTGTGTGTGTGTGTGTGTGTGTGTGTGTGTTAACCAAGACCCGGTGGTGAAGCCATATTTTGAATAAACTCATTAAGAGTCTGTGTAAATTAAACACCAAATGAGACTTAACTAGCCCCTACTTTGGTGTCCAGAGGTTGTGGTACAGCCTTTTCAGTAGCTGACTGTGAACAAGAGGCAGGACCAGCTGCCTGAGTATGTGACAAGTGCACCGTCACAGGGCCCCACTCAGAAAGGCCTCGTGCTTCAGGTTTAATGCTCTGCAAATGCTGTCTTGAAATTCTCAATAATTTTATCTTCAGATTTGTGTTTTGTAAGTGAAGTCCTACTGGGACAATGGAGCATGTGCTGGGAGCTGGTAACCTGGGCTCAGGCAAGGCCCCACCTCTTCTGGACAGGCTCTGTCCTAGACAGGCCTCTTGCTTCCTGGCTCCTGCCCCTGCCCCCTCCTCCCCTCACATTGTGACCTCTGTTGCAGTCCTGGGTGGCTCAGGACCGTCAGCAGCAGAGTGCTGAAAGGCAGGCCCCAACTTGCCAGGGGCTGCAATTTTTTCACAAGAAGTCATAAATTCACTCAGTGAGTGAATTCCCTTGATTTTTTCAATGTTGACTGCCTTTTTAAAAACATGAAAACATGTTTGTGGCTATGTGAGCCTCCTCTCCCAAGGGTAACCTGCTCTGTTCCAGTGTCAGCCCTCTGGATTATCGCAACTACTGTTCAGACCTAGCAGTGACCCTCTTCGTTCCTGGATTAATGGAAGAAAGAGAAATCTTAATTTAATTTATACAATTACTAAGTATGGTGAATAGATTTCTTGTAGAAGTTATTGTTAATGTAAATTTAACATTTGAAACAGATTTTGGATACACAACTCTTAAGCAGTAGTCACAAAATCCTTGAAACTTTGGTCTATGAATGTTTTCCAGATTCTTCATGGGCTGCTTTTCTTGTTGTACTAATATTTATAATATGACAATATCCATAGCGTGAATAATAAGAATATGTTTCATCAGAAGCAGCTTTGCTCTTCCTGGCCTGTCTGTTTTTTGTTCTTTGTTTTGTTTTTTAAGGAGAAAGAAAACAAGCAGTCTTTTCCCTTCTAAAGACTTTCATGACTTTGAGGAGAAGCGTCTCCAAGTTATTCTCTTATCTCTTTGTCTAGAGGTACCATCTTGAGAAGAAGTCTATTTTCAAGTGATTCTGGTATCCTCTAGAACTGCATGGTCTAATATGGGAGCCACATGTGTCTCCTTAAGTTTCAGCTAATTAAAATTAATTAAAATGAAAAATTCAGTTCCTCAGTCACTTTAGCCACATTTTGAGTGCTCAACAGCCAGTACTAGGAAGCAAGAGTCTATTGTGTGCATTTCTTTCCAACTCAGTGATCAGTGATGTCACCTTCATAGCTTGGAACTGGCTTTAGTGACAGTATTTACACCATGGAAACTGGATAATATAAATCTGGCTTGTGTGTGTGTGTGAGTCCATTGTTAAACATCTACCAGCACACCACCACCAATAGTCTCACATGGCTAGTGGCTACCATACAGAACAGCACAGAATATTTCTATCATCACAGAAAGTTCTGCTGGTCAGTGCTGCTCTAGAAGATATACTATCTAGGGTGTCTCCAGTCATCACATTCAAGAAAGAAAAGAAATACATCAGAGGAAAACTCATCGGTATGGTTTGAGTAGACTGTAACTGTGATGCTCTCCTACATGCATCCCCAAATATTAGGCATTTCTAGGTCCCAAAGCTACTCTAGAGTGGTCCAGACAGACATTTTTTTATTAAGGCTTGAGTTGTCCTTGGTAGCCCAGTTCAGCCACAGAGATTTATATATTTCCAAGTATGCCCAAGTGACTAATGCAATGCCATTTTAGGTGAAAAAAAAATAAAATTTTAGTCTTAACTTCTGAAAAGAAAATCTTGTTTTTACTCCATGGTAGGCAGGGCCAATGCCCCTACTCAGCTCTAAAACAGTGATGGAAGATGGCCCTCCACCCCTCTGCAGCCCTATAAGCATATAGGAGTTAAATCTCTGAGGGGAGAATGAGACAGGAAAGAAGGGGGCAGGGCACAGCCAAAAAAGGAATGACACAGCAGTTAGCACCAAGATGGCGGAAAAGTAAACCCCCAATAGACCTTGAGGCCCAAGATGGTTGGAGATCTGACTTCTAGTAGACCTTGAGCTTTGTTATACGCTCACTGTATTATATTAGCATGGGAAGTGACACAACCACAGGTGCCATGACAGTTCTGAGGGCTGACCGTAAAAGGTCAAAAAGTGGGTGATGGCCCAGTGCCTGGGAATCCCTGCCCCTTCCCCAAAGTAGTTGGAATAATCCTTCCACTTGTTAGCTTATGAAGTTACCAAGCCCATAAACAAGCCCCACACCTCGTGGCCGCTTTCCTTTCGAAGTGAGACAGACCGCACTCTATGGAGTGTGTATCTACTTTTACTTTAAACTAAGCACCCAACCCTGCACCTCATGGCCTCTCTGGCCTTCTGAGATGGCCTATACTCTGTCTATGGAGTATGTATCTCTCTGAATAAATCTACTTTTACTCAATAAATAAATACATACATACATAAAAAGAAAATCTTGAAGGCCTACATGTCATAGAATTTGCTTTCATCTGATTAGAAGAGAACACCAATTATTTAGAATAAGCCTCTTCAAAACCACGAGAACTCTGTGGTTACCTAGAGAATATTGCCTACAAACTAATGCAAGATTTATCTTACAGGTATCTGACTTAATCGAAGGTACCACTAGAGACCTAAGGCTGAAAGTGGCCACTCTTGAAGAAAAACTCCATGAATCTCATATTCGATATACTGAAGAATCCGAGTCAAAGGAGAAAGAAATTGAAAACCTTAAAAATTTGCTTGCAGAGTTTGAATCACGCTTGAAGAAGGAAATTGACAGTAATGATTCAGTTTCAGAGGACTTGAGGAAGGAAATGAAACAGAAGTCAGATGAACTGGAAAGAGTGATGCTGGCACAAACACAACTGATACAAAAATTCAACCAGTCCCAGGAAGAGGTAGGAAGCAGATGATAGAACCATTACAATCAGTGAATGAGTGTATATTCTTTCAAAAAACAAATGAACAAGCAAAAACATGAAAGGCAGCTTGTCATGCAAAGGCTCCTAGACTGTTAGTCAGAGACCTGGGGTCATATCCTGGCTCTGTCCTTAACTAGGCAGGCACTTAACCTCTCTAGACCTGGCTTCCTTTTCTGTAAAATGAATAAGACATTGAACTAAATAATCTCTAAGGTTTCCTCAGCCAGTTCTACTGTTTCAAATGATGATTTAAAACCTCTAAGATTAGAAATCTTTATATATTTATGACTTATTTGTTTTGACATTAAATCTTTTCCAAGGAAACTTTTAGAGCACTTGCTGCTTAAGTTAATATTTTGGACATATATTTTAAATGTAACTATTCCTTGGGGTTTTATTTTTCTGTCAACTTAAACTTACAACTTACACGTATTGGTCTTCTTTCCTATGTATGCATGATTATTTCAGCAATGTTTTTATTTAAACTGGAGTAGACTTATTTTGATTTGAAAATTTTTTTCCCTAACAAAGTCTTATTTCTGAACTGCTGAGCAGCTTAGGAATGGTGGATGCTATGGATTGAATGTTGGTGTGTCCCCCCAGATTTATATGTTGAACTCTAATCCACGATGTGATGATATGTAGAGGTGGGACTTTGGAAGGTGATTCTGTCATGAGAGAGGAGTGGGCTTGGTGCCCTTATGAAAGAGCTTCCTCGCCCCTTCTACCATGTGAGGACACAGCGAGAGGATGGCTGTCTATGAATCAGGAAGCAGGCCCCTAACCTTGATCTTGGACTTCCCAGCCTCCAAAACTGTGCTGTCTGAGCCACCTAGTCTCTGGAATTTTGTTATATCAGCCCAAACTGATTAGTAAGACAGTGGAGCAATTCTCCAATAACCTAGAATTAGAATATTGTCACATTAGAATCTTTGGTTCCATCTATGACAGTATAGCAAATAAAGGCAAGTGAAAGAAGATTCTGAATGTTAGTGACAAGTAATATTCTTGTTTGTTTTTTTGGCATCTTAATAAAAGGAAAGTGCTAGTAGTAACATAGATTATTAAAAATATACCATGTTCTTGCTATATTTAAATTATAAGCCAAAATAAAAAGTTTGTGCCGTAATTATAATTATGAAATGAATTGCATCAATATGCAATTATGAATAAGACTGACAACTGCCATTCCTTTCTCTCTAAGAGAAATTTAAAGGAAGTATTATGTGAGTGATTAAATTGACATCAGAAGAAAGATTAACTTAAAAAGAAACTTATATAAAAAGCATAGACTAAAAGCTAAAAAAATTAGACTTAAGGGCTTGCCTTAGTTGTCTATTGTTGCATAACAAATTATCATCAAATTCAGTGGCTTTAAACAACAACTATCTATTATCTCATAGTTTCTAAGGGTCAGGGATCTGAATGTGGGACTTAGCTGTGTGCCTCTTGCTCAAGGCCTCTCATGAAGTTGGTGTTAGGGTATTGGGGCTACAGTATCATTTAAAGGCTCAACTGGGGGAGGGTTGGCTTCCAAGCTCAGTGATGTGGTTGTTAGCAGAATCTATTTCCTCACAGATACTGGGCTGAGAGCCTCAGTTCAGTGCTGGCTATTGGTTAGAGGCCCCCCCTCAGTTTATTCCAACATGAACCTCTCCACAGAAGAGCTGGCAGTGTGGCAGCTGGCTTCCCTCAGAGCAAGCAAGTCAGAATGAGAGAGTACAAGAGAAGGCACCCAGGATAGAAGCTACAGTCTTCTTGTAACCTAACCTCATCCCGTTGCTTTTGCTACTTTCTACTCATTAGAAATGAATCAACAAGTCTCACCCACACTCAACGCAAAAGGGTTACACGAGGGTGTAAACAGCAAGCGGGTGGGGGTAACTGGGGGCCATTTTAGAGGCTACCAGTCTCAGGGCCCCTGAAGGTAATTTTGGCAAGAAAAACTAGACTGGCACACTAAAGAAGTACACTGGGGTTCTTCCTGCTTCTTAGTTGTAAAAGGAAGCCACTTAGAGATGCAAAAAATAATTTTTGAATGTGGACTCTTGAACGATACAAAACACTGAGTTGGTATATAAATGATCATGGATCATTACTGGGGAATAGCAAAGAATCATCCCAAAAGTAAAGTTACCTAAGGACATGCCAGGGGGTAGACTTTCCATTAGAAGTTAAATAATTACAACTGAACTGTGAGAGTAAATAATTAAGGCTGCTTCTCTGGTGAAGAATGTGAAGTCCAGAATATTCTTATAAAAATAGGAAATGAGCTAATACAAGTCACAGGAGCTATGAGCCAGAAAGAATAGAGGTTGTTAGCATGTAAAGTGAAAAGCACTGCTTTTTTTGTGATGGTGCATTCTGGACACTTGAAATTTCTCAGGTTCTGGAGGAGAAAAGCCTCATTTAAGTGGAGAGCAAATTCCCATTAGAAAGAAGATAAATTAATGGTCTAAGAAGGAAGCTAATTAAGGGGAAGAAAGCCCTGCTCTCATTCAAGAGGCCAGAGAATAGGTAGAACTTTGTTTTTAACTGTATAAAGAAAGTTCTCAAGGATAGAAGGAAAGCCATAGCCTCTGAAGGGCAGAATGGACATTCCTGCATGGAGCAGGGATTAGTGGAGGCTGCCACAGAAACAAGGATTGAGAAGGTGCAGCAACAAAAGATGCAGGTCAGTAAGAGGAGAGAAAATGGAAAAGAAAACTGTATGGGAAATGGAAATGTGGGAAGGAGCCTCCTGAAAATTCTTCATAGGGAGAAGACACAGACATAAAAAATTAGCACATTTAAAAAAAAAAGAAGTCAGAAAAGAAACATAGTATGTTAAAGAACAGGGCATTGTCATTTAAAATCAGGTTAAAATAGATCACGTGCTTCTTGCTGCAGTTTTGCTTCCTGCCAGCTCCATGCGAGTCCTGTCAAGACAGCATGGCCCACTGTTAGGGGCCTTGTGATCCAGAGGAAGAATGTGATAAATTCAAAACACAGTTTGTGTACAACTATCAAAGGAAAGCCAGTACAGAGAGTTCAGTATTTTTGTTGTCTTAAGACTATAGATAAGGAAAACATAAGGGGCAGAAGTTTTCAGTTCTACCAGTTCCTGTAGCTAGCTAGCTAATGAAGATGAAAGATATTCAAAACTAGAAGGGAATGCTCTTAGTTAAACATGCAGAATTGAATGCATATGTTTCTCTCTCCTTCTGTCCCAAAACACCACTAAAATGACAGTAAATTAATAAAAAAAGGAGTAAATCCATAAGGAAGAGAACAAGAAAAGAGGTGACACTAGATGAAAAAGATGTGTTGACCAAATTTTGGAAAATGGAAAGCAAGGTATGGATAATAGGTAATTAGCAGACTGTAGGATATGGAAACCTAATGCCTGTGAGGAGTGTAGGAGTGGCTGGAACCCTAAAAGGAGCAAACTCAATCACGTGACATGACACTGGGCAGACTCAGGAACTGGGGACACCAGATACCTCTGAAAGAGAGAGGAAAGAGTGGATCCGAAAACAGGACTGTTTGAATGATTGTAGAAGGAGCAAATAAGTGCTTGGATGCCCTCTCTAACCCCTCAAGCAGCCTCCACCCACCATCCTGGCAGGATACCAAAGGTCTACATTCTAGAAAAACTGAATACCAGGGTCTCTGGACCTAAGTAATATACAGCAGCAGCGTATGGGATAAGGCAAGAGCTGGAGTAAAGTCTGTATATTACAGAGTGAGACCTCCCAGTCCAAGTCACCTGCTCACTTCCCAGAACATGGACAACCAGGCTTACGTGTCAGTAGCCAGAAAACTATGGACACTGACAACTGGGGTCTCTTAATGAAGTGTTATATCCATGTCCCATCTACCCACTGAGACATATCCCAGTCAATAAGCTCTCCTACCTAGGCACACAGAGGTTCCAGGAACATTTTGGAGGCTCATTTTTAAACATGAAAAGCCAAGGATCCCCAGTCATTTGAAGAACACCTCTACTATCAAAGACAGAAATCAGGATCAAACAAATAAGCAAAAAATTAACTCATAAGAAACAAATATAAAACAACACGGGAAGCAAAAGTGAGCTTCAAAAAAGAGCATAATTAATATCCTTAGAGAGAAAAGAGATGTTGTATCCATGAAATAAACAGGAGGCTATAAAAAAAGAAAAGGAATGAGTATTAAAATACAAGAATTGAAATTTAAAAATTTAATGTTTGGCTTTGATGATAAAGCTGAAGAAATCTTCCCAGAAAGTAGAAGGGAAAGGCAAAGAGATGGAGAGAAGAAAAGAAGATTAGAGGATCAAGCCAGGGTGCCTAATACCTCACCAATAGGAATTCCAGAAAGAGAGGACAGAGAAAATGGAAGGGAGAAAACTATCCAGGAACTAATTCAAGAATTTTTCCAGGCACTGAAGGGCATGTATTTTCTATGTTGAAAGAGTCCACCCAGCATCATGAGCCATCATTACCTTAAGGATAAACATAAGTACTTGTAAGCTTCCAAGAAAAAAAAAGAGAGATCACTTAAAGAGGGTTGGGTATCAAAATGACCTCAGAATTCTTTACAGCAGCAGTAGAAACTGGAAGACAATGGCTTCCAAATTCTGAAGGAAAATTATTTCCAACCTAGGTTTCTATATCCTGCAAATGATCAATCAAATCCAAGTGTCAAATAATATTTGCAGCTATTAGAGTTCTCAAAAATAATACTTCCTTTTCAGCCTTCCTCAGGAAGCTGTTAGAGGATGCATGACACCACAATGAGGGAGTAAACTAAGAAAGGAGAAGACATAGGAATAAGGAAATGAGTGTTCTGACACAAGAGAGAGGTAGAGGGAGTCCCCAGGACCATGGTGGGCAGAAATCCAAGAATTACAGCAGTGCAGATTTAGAAAACTATCAGGCTGGGTTTAGCAGAAGAACAGAGGGATTTTAGAAGTGTGTATCTGAAAAATAAGAAGCTGATGGATTACACGGAGT